AGCTTGAATTATTTCTACGTTATATATAGGGAAAGTGGTGGAGGAGGAGGAAGGTGGTGGGAACGAGCGAGTACGTGGCTCTGGCCGTGTACGTGGACGATCCAAGGCTGCGACGAGGCACGCTAACTCAGCCGCACGAGGGCAGAGTTGTAGCACGCACGCGGCTTCCTCCTTTCATCCGTCGTTTCATCTCCGTCGACCGGTGGAAAGGAAAAAATCGGAGGAGGAAGGAAGGAAAGAAGGAAGGAAGGAAGGAAGGTTTCTTCTGTTCTGACGTCTCTCCTCTTTGAGAAAGAGATATATACATATATATATATACAAGAGGAGGGGGAGCGAGGAAGAGAGAAAAGGGAGAGGGGACCACTTACCAGGGGGAGTTATCGACTACACACGTAAGGCGACAGCGCACACGTACGGATACACAAACATCGCGGACCTGTTGTCCAACTTGTTGCTCGTCCCTGCAAAAGGCACACCTCGCCTGCCTTCGCGACGCACAAGTCACTCTCGCCTTTCGAAAAAAAGAAAAAAAAGGAGCAGGCAGTTAAAAAAATAGAAACCACCAACTTTGAACTCGAAAACAACTTCAACAACTCTCGCCTCTGAATTTCGATCTCTGAGTTTTCTTCGCCCTGTCGACGATCATGGATTGAATCGAAAAGGAAATCGGGATAATATAAATCCTTCTTCTACGATCCGTCTTAAAGAAAGATCGTTCGAGCAAGTGGAAGATAAGATTTTTCGTTCCTTCTTCGACTTCGATCGATTTTTTCGCGTTCTCGAAATCGGCGAGATGAGGGTATCGTCGCAAGAATGGACACGCCCGACCAACGCGATATTGCGCGAAAGTGTTGCCGGCATGGCGATGGAACGGTGCTCGGATCAGCCAGGCGAGTAAGATTGAACGAATCGAGAGAGAGAGAGGGAACAAACTGATATGAACGCATTTTTCATCAACTACGAACATTGAAGAGGATTGGCTTGGTTATTATTTGTCAAGTATGAGGCGTGCAGAAAGATTTGTCCAAGGAAGGAGAGCGAGCACCGGAGGTAACGGGAAGCGGAAAACAGGGCAGAGGTAGACGGAAAATAGGGGGGAGGGGAAAAGAAACGTAATCTTCCACCCGCGAATACAACGAAAGCAATACTACAAACAAGGTAAAGCGAACAAAGAGAATCTAAAGAAAAAAAAATTAAAAAAAAAAGGGAAACAAACTAGAAAGAGGAAGGAAATTTAGAAAAAAAAAAAGAAGAAGAAGAAACTGAAGAAGAATCTTTCCTTTCTTGCTCTCTACGTATATATAAATATACTCGAGTAAAATCACCGAAACGATCTCGACTGCGAGCACACTGCGCGCTTTCGGCCCAAGTGTTTCCGTCGAAACGAAGTTTCCGGATACTACCTACTAGGCTTCCGGATGTTTCCGGCCGGGCCTCGAGTTGCATCGACTCGTTTCGCCGAAGAGATATTTTAATATAAAAATTTTAAATATAAATCTGTACGCGTACTTGTGCGCGCACTGTGTCTACCTATACACAGACATATAGTTATATATATATATACGATAAGTGTGTACATATAAACGTAGTTCCCTTTGAAATCGTGCAACGACATCTAGAATTAAAATACCGCCCTACACAATACACACACACATATATATATATATACACACACACGCGGCAACTTCCGATCGGAATCGACGTTTCCGGTAGCCCGCCACACGGAAGTTAACCCATTCGGACCAATCGATACCGATACAATTGCACCGAGTTCGGCTAATTCTCTCTCTCGAGAGAGAGAGAGAGAACACGCATCAACACTGTGTTTGGAACACTGTGTTCCAATCGAGGAACACAAGGTGATTTTGGTTAACGGAGGAAGCGTGGACGAAACGAGGAGAGGAAGTTTTGGAAGAGAAGATGAGGCGAAACGAGGTGCTCGGCTGAGGTCATCGATCGGTGTATCGGTCGTGATCCTGGTGGCCTCCACCGCCAGAGACCACCAGGACGATACTTCGACCCGTGTGCTCTAACTTGGAATAGAAATTTGGATGAGAATCGTTGAAAGAGAGAGAGAGAGAGAGAGAGGGAGAAGAAAGAAAAGGGAAAATATATTCGACGAATTTCATCCCTTGAAGAGACAATAAAATAAATCTCGTCGAAGGGTAAAGAAGATCGTAAAGTGGATCGAAAATTATCTTCGGATATCGTGCAAGCAAACTCTCTGAAACGTTTTATAATTAGTTTGATAGGGCTCGAAAGAAACGAACACAGCCAAGATGCCGCGTTGTTACATGGTGAAGAAAGCTCTGTGCAACAAGTACATAAGCAACGTTGCCAGAGGATTCGAGAGCTGGGGTCGAGGAAGGAGCACGCCATCACCGACCACCATGCAGATCCCGGTCTCGCCCATAGAAGGGAGCGTCGCACCCCCTGTTGCTCAAGGTACGGTTCACAGTCCCTTCCAATTATGGCTTCTATAATGGTAATTAAACAGTCGTCGAAGATTCTTCGAAGGATAAGAGTAATAAGGAATATTCACGTTTTGTTGATGGAATGGATGTAGGTTTGTGATTCGTGAACGATAAAGTTAGTATGATGGTAGATATTTTAAGCATTGGGTTTAAAATTAATGCTTGTTCTCTTTGTTTGAGGTAATAAGCATGTTTTGTAGATGTTTTATTTGTTAAGTTTGTTTGAATTCATTCGTTGAAATTGGTTTTTGAAAATATAAATATTGGTTAATTTTAGAATTTAAATCAAAAGAAAAAAAAATGAAAGGAAATGAAATTCAATCAATTTGATTTAATGAATTTGATTGAATGAATTCATATAATAACAAGCATAAATTTAAACATTATTTCCTATCTTAAAGTCTAAAAATAAATATATTAAAATTATATTTTTAATTTCTATATATAAAATCTTCTAAATTTATTCAAAGGACAATGAATGTTTAGAAAAAAAATGTACCTTGCATTTCATAATATATCCATAATCCTTCTTTCATTTTCTTGGAATATATACATCTATTGCCTCTTTATTGCAATGAATTGATTTTATGTTTTGCTAAATTTTATGAAATGTAACGTGTACTTTTCTTCTTCAATTGAACACAAAGACACTTGCATAAATATTTAATAAAAGAAAAATATCGTAAATGATAAAAGAAAATTGATCGATATTTTAACCTATTACGTTCAATTAATACGAATGTTTCTACTATTTGTTCCAAAGGCCCGCTGTATTGATTCACCCTGTAGCCATATATCGTTCGTCTCGTGTCGGCGCGCTGCACGGACGCGTGTTTCATCGTTGGCAAGAAAAGTTTCTGCATGCTAGCAAAATGCTAGCAAAATTGCCTTCGTATTTTTATCTATTCTTAATGTCGTTAGAAATATCAAATATATTAAATTGTTGTTGCATAATTGAATAATTGAATTAATTATCTAGATGAAATTTTACAAAATTACAAACAATACTATACTTTAATAAATTTTATAAATTATAAGTTATAATTTTGAGTATTGAATTGAAACAAAATTGATAATAAGAATAATTAATTTATTTACGTGAATTTGATAGATGCTAAAAAACAATTTTTCAATTCATTATAACATATTATATTATATAAAGAAAAGTTAAATTATAGTAATTACTTTCTTTTTAAAATGTGAAAGAATAAACACAAAAAAATATTTTACAATCTTCCATATTGAAGGGATGAAAATTATTCTTTGAAAATTCTTGAAAAAATATTTAGATTATTATTATCATAATAAAAATTCTTATTCAATTTCAGTCATCAAGTTCATCACAATTTGATTAATTAAAGATAAAATTGACAGCATTTATAATAGTATAATAAATATTTTCCTGTTTTTCTGGAAAAATTAATATAAACTCTCGATATGAATTTTTCTCTATAAAATATTTCCAAATACAACGAATAAATTTAATCCAAACTAAAATTGTTTTGACAAAAATTGAAAAAGAAAAATCAATAAAAATTAAGATGAAAATAAAATTGTGCACTCGCAGAAAGAAAAATGGCATGGAGGATCATGGGCCATATTTAAACCTGCAAATACCGACGTCGTCACGTCGTAGTAATTCGTGGATAACTGCCACGACGAAGCTGCATTAATTGTTAGAATTGTCGTTCCCGATGGCGCCAGTTTCCAACTATGTCCCTGCTTTGCAAACGGTTCACGATTTATGCTTCGTAAGCTCGGTGAATGAAAAAATATCATATGCAAAAAACTTGGAGACGTTAACAAAGAAGCGACAAAGACTGTGTATCCTTAACTTCTTCGGAACATTTGATCGATCGAAAATAGGAACGATTATTATCGCGAGAAATTAAGCAAATCGATTTTAAATTGTCTTGGATAAAAGATAGATTTTATCAGAATCGAAAGATAACATTGTATAGATTCACAAGTTTTCTAAAAATATTTCAATATATAAAGGGAAGGATTTGATTTAGATATCGATTGTTACTTAAAATAGAATAACATAGATTTCATCATCTTTTTTTTAAATAGATTTTGATTAATCCTTTGATTTAATCTTTTTAATAAATGATTTTAATTAATTGAGCACAATTCAAATTTAAACAAATTAACTCATAAATTAATAATCAAAATTGTCTTTACTATCATTTCAAAAAGAACAATGCTGCTCATAAATTAAAATTCACAAATTTAATATTGCTAGAAAGAACAAGTTCGAATCGTTAAAAAAGTTACAAAGTTAACGCGTTGTCACATCAATTGTTAGAAACTTTTCCCCGGAAAGACGTCGGTGAAATAGCGAGAATATGCGCGATCGAGACTCGAAACGATTTAGAAAAGAAAAGAAAAGCAAGAAGACACAAGAGGATCATTGCTCGAGCGAAACACGCAGTTTCATAACCGAGTTATCGTGAAATTTTATATCCGCTCGCTCGTACACTTCCCTTGGCCATCCACCCATCCCCTTTGACCTCGTTTCCAACATGCTTGCCGTCATAATCCCTGATCCTCCTCCATCACTCCCTCTTGCTACCACTTCGCCAACGATGTTCGACACTCTTTCGTTGGCACGTCGACAACAGAACTCTCCCTCTCTTTCTCCCGCGGACCGTTTTCCACTTCGCTCGTTAAATCTCGATTAAAAAGTCAAATTAAGAAATCGAGTTACGCGCCGCTGTCGGTCCTCAGTTGTCTCGTTAATATCGCATTGTCGCGGACTGAAGGGGTGAAATGGGGTTGATGATGTGGTTTCCACTACTTTGCTCAAAGTTACTGTCTTCCTTTGTGGTTTTTTTCCTCGTTGTTCTCTTTTCTTCCTATTCTTTTATAGAAAGAGAAAAAAAAAGCAACTATAGTTATCGAGTTTGCTCGTTTCATTTTGAAAAATTAGTTAAAAATGCAAACTTAGATTTTATTCCTCGCAGGATGTGATTGATGATATTGTAACAGCATTACTCGTCCTAAAAATTAATAAAGACATCGATTGAATATATCGAGAGATATTTGTCAAACGATTTATAAATAGATATCTTGGGTTACAGAATACCTGAGCACGCAGTCTCAAGACACGACGACAGGAACGAAGACGCTTGAGCAGGACGTCTCCAAGGGGAAGGTGGACGAGCCCAGCAATGTGGACATGGCGATCGCGACAAGCAATGCGGGCACACCAGCGACAGAACCTCCAATTACTGCTCGAACGGAGGCAACATCTCCAACGGTGATTACCTGCGCCACTACAGGCTCATCCTCCACGATAGCGGCGTCGCAAACAGAATCGATCGCCTTGGGTGTCGAGAACACAACGATCACCACGTCCACGTTACCTTTCACAGCTCCCAGATCACCGTCCAGAACAGTTCATACAAACTATCAACAACACACGAACATGCCTCATCACTCACCTCCGGGAGAACCTTCTCCTCCTTCGAGCACCGCTACACCGTATCACACCGTCGAAGAAACAACGGATCATTCTGCATCTGAATCGAGGATAGGGTCCAATAACGGCAATGTGATCACCAATTATGTGTCTTCGATGTTCAAGGATCGTTCCGCAGCCGAAACAGAAGCTGCTCACGACTTGTTGGAACTGTCGAGGTCACTCCCGCCATTACCGCCACCTAGTGTCGCAATCGGGCCACAGAGCGTGATAGAGTCGCCTGCTACGGACATACAAGAAATGACAGTGTATCAACCTGATCAACCAATCTACCAGGTGAATACCATCGACCTGGCAAACTCAACAGTCTACACGCACCACCATCAACAACAACAAACGCCCACCGCGAGCATTATTTACGAGCCCAGCGCGACGATAGTTCAACAAACGGGCAGCGTATTCATCCCTCTGTCTCCTGTTCAAGAGATTCTGCTCACTTACAGCACACCGTCCATTCCGTGCACACCGATTGTCGCCACTCAACAACCACCCCAACCTCTAGCGCAGCAACAGCAATCTCACCAGACTATAGAGGCGGCGCCACCGTTGACGCCACCTACCTCGGAATGCAGCAGCGACATCGAGAATAACAATCCTAATTCGCAACCTAGTCAGAAAGATAAGGAGGTGCAGACTGTGACCGAGCAAACGGAAGTGAAACCGGCCAGTTACACTTATGACACTTTATTGGTGGCTGATGGAAGATCGAAGAACAAGAAGATCATACCTACTCAGAAAACGCAGGAGACAGAACCAGTCGAAACGCCCGAGACGTCGAAAATTGGACGATACGTCTGTTGCGAGTGCGGTAGGTTGTTGGAGAAATGGACACGTGTTTGTTGTGATTATTACCTGACAGGATAATCGATAGATCGAAGAAACTATTTTCAATCAGGATCACATCATTCAGGACAAAAATTCTCTGCTTTCAGGTAAACAATACGCGACCTCGTCGAACCTGTCGCGACACAAACAAACCCATCGTAGCATCGACTCGCAATCGGCGAAGAAATGCATCCACTGCGGCAAGGCGTACGTTAGCATGCCAGCGTTGGCGATGCACGTGCTTACCCACAAGTTGACACACAGTTGCGGCGTGTGCGGTAAGATGTTCTCCAGGCCGTGGTTGCTGCAAGGCCATTTAAGAAGTCACACGGGAGAGAAGCCTTATGGGTGCGCGCACTGCGGCAAAGCGTTCGCCGATCGGTCGAATCTTCGCGCCCACATGCAGACCCATTCCGCGGACAAGAACTACGAATGTCACAAGTGCCACAAATCGTTCGCGCTCAAGTCTTACTTGAATAAACACTTGGAGTCCGCTTGCCAGAGGGAGAACGATGAGCCCAACAACGACCTAGATGCGCCACAATAGATTCGTTCGATTCGTTGGGGAATAGTTGGCGCTCGTGTCGCTGGTTATGATCAAGTAGGTCGTTGAATTGTTGGTAATACGAGAATTTGGAGAATCGAAGATCTTTAAATTAGATGTCGCTATAGTAGAAAAGTAACTTTGAATTATTGAAATTTATTATTATTATAAATTTATTTAGCTAATGTAAGTTATAATGATTGGAAATATTTGAATTTGCTAGAATTATAAAATTATTTAATTAATATAAGTTATAGCGATTGAAAATATTTGAATTTGTTAAAAGGAAAGTATTGTATAGGTTAGAAATTTTTGAAATTGATAGAAACGAAATTATAGAAAATAGAAATGACAATTTTTTTAATTTTTTTTTATTTAATATTCTTGGATTAATCATGGTTCGAATTTCTGTTTCCAGTTAACATGTCGAGCCAAAGAAGCAATTTTTCCAAGGTGCAAACTCATCGGTAGGTCAATCCGTCTGGAAATAGATCTATAATGATGACGAATTCATTGTTTTTCCCTTCCTTTCATAAACTTATAAAAAAATTCACAATTCATACGCTTGATCGAATTAGCGAAAGGAAGAGATGATCCATGAAATATATAAAAACAACGGAAGTACTTTCATCTTAGAGATTGACAAGTGATCCTTCATCGTTAAACACCAACAACGCATCGTATTCTCATTCTGGGTAAGCAAACGATTTCAAACGCATTTCAATCGCGATTCAAGTCATAACAAAATTGTTTAAGAACAAAGAACAAACACGTAAAAGATACGTGTTCGAAGATGAAACTTATCTTTCCTATATAAACGATTAAGGATTGAACCAACATGAAAATATCATGGTTAAACCAATCAAATTTAAAATCGTTTCATTCTTCGCGCGAGATTGGCTCCAAAAAGTGAAGTTTATTATTAAAATAAGCGGATATTAAAGTCGCGTTTAAGGAAAGAGAAGAACTCGAATACTCTCGAATTACATTTACAGGGATATATCGTCCTAAGCTAAGACAATTTTATTCGCATCGAAACGCGTACGATGCTATTCTAACGACATTCCTTTCGTCCATGAAACGATAAAAACTCCGTTCGTTGTCCGGTAAAATCGATATTCGCGGGACATCGAAATGGAAAACGAAACGACGCTCGTTCGGTTTCCGATTAAGGGTTTGAAGTACGATAAAGAGAGGACGCGGAGAACGAACAGCGGCGGCGAGAATCGATGCAATACTATCGAGGGACCATCAATTTGCGAGTAAAATTCATTTCGAATCCGCCGATCGTCGATGGAAATCGGATCAATCCTAGTCGAAGGATTTGAAGATCCAACGAAAATAATGTACGCTCGAAGTAGTATCTCGAGAGCAACGTCCTCTTTGATACTTAAGGATTTTTAGAAATCACATGGCAATTTGACGTCTTTTCATCTTACTCTTCTTGTTGATTTTCCACGAATTCTTCTGAAAAATCTTCTGAATGTAATGTAATCGATTGAATGACAAGGTCAGCATAATGTTAGAATCCTTAGATATTTTACTTCTTCTTCTATCTTGCAATTTACCATGAAACACATAGATACATGCACAGATTATGCTCTAAAAACATTTTAATTTGTCAAGTGGGGATTTGATTAAAGTTTAATTTATATTATCTGAAAATGAGATTACATGACTTAATCTTGATTATAATTGAAAAAAGTACAAAAAGTAATTTGCACATACTTTCTTAATTCTATTATTATTTCATAGTATAAAAATTCTTATAATCATATAAAAGTATTAAATGATACAAAATGTAGTTTAATTTAATTCATTACAATAATATGCAAATATTTTTTGTATCTATCTATTATATTTTTATAGAAGATACAAAATAAATCTGATCTATCTAGAGAAAAGCAATATAATAACTTATCATCCTCAACTTGCAATTTAAAATGAGAAAACAATAACAGAATCTATGATGAATCTATGATTCAATATATAAACTTTATCAAAAAAAAAAAAACTTCACGTATCTATTCATTTCAACTTAATCACTTCATCACTTATCAAACTATTCTTCGATCCTAAAAGATACTTCAATCTTCTTCTACGATTAATTCTCGATCAAAGATAAAACGATTCACTCGAAAACGTGAAAAAGAATAGTCATTTCTTCGTCGTTGTCAAAGTGTCTGGCAACCAAACTGACATTCGATACGTTGATACGAAACTATCGAGTGTCCAATTCGTGGAAAACTTTTCACGCAAGTGTAATTTCCTCGAGGCATCCTTTTTCCGAACTTCCATCGCCGCCCTCGGCGCACAATGGAGGCGGTGGGGATGGGCACACGTCGAAGGTTTTCATCAACATTTCACGTAAACTGGACCACCTGTTGAATGCCTGGAATGACCATTGGTAGCGAAAGGGTCGCTCTCTCGTTCCGCTCCCCTAAATTATAGAACAGTACTCCTGTAATTTCCTCGTTGTCAAAAGTATACGAGATCGCGATTTTTCCGCTTTTTTTCTCTGTAATAGAAACGGTGGATAAAGGTGTGTTAAAGATTGACAGAATAGAATTACAATCAAGCAACTGTCTCTAGTCAGGTTCTTTCAATTATTGATCGAACATTAAAGGAAACTCTAGTCGAATAAATTTTTTAAAATATTTATTCTCTTCTTCTTAAAATAAAGAGATAAAAATCTATTTAATTTCTTAATTTCTTTCGCGAAATTTACGTTCAATTCTTTCTCGGTAGCTTTTAATTTTCATTTTCGTTTAAATTAATTAACAGTTTTCTTTCAGAATTGATGTTTTTATAATGATTCCTAATAAATTGTTGAACGATGAATGAAAAAATTTGGAGATTTTTTTTTAAATTATTTCAATGATTCTTACAAAACCTTGATGGTGGATTTCCTTAAACATCTAGTCTATTGAATGAATACGTCGTTGCATAGAGTTATCTTCTTAAATATTTAATACTTACTAACGTTTGTAAGGGCAAATGTAGATATTTTTACTGCGATCAAACTTCGATTTTATTATTCTTAGTCGTTAGTCACTTTTTATTCATCATCTATTTCACTCGTAAGTAGAACACCTCGAATCGTGATATTAATTTTAGAACGTTCTGATGTTATAATTAATTAAACGATGAAATAAAAAAAAAAAAATTGAAGCGTCGAAAGGAATGTCGGCCAAGAGAAAATATTGCTGCTGAAAGAAACGAAAACCAAAGATAAGCACCAACTCGAAAAAAATAAAATAAAAGGAAAAAAAAAAATAAAATAAAATAAAATAATAACTTATTCTCTAGTCAACGAGCTACGCTTGTATTGTATCGTTTTATCTTAGGTTGCCCCACGTGAATCGATGGGCTTAGTCCTTGTATAATAGGTGAAGTGGTTGTTCTTTAATTTAAGTTGGTCGCTGTTGCTTTCACGTGAGAAAAACAAAACGCGTTTTTATAACGACTAGTAGAAGATATTTTGGTACGAGAAACATTTTCTGCGATTAGAACACTTAAGGATTGACCGATTATTATTGCGTACTCGGTTAGTTCCCGGTTAAGTAGTCTTTAAACGGGCGCAAGAACGAACGAGCTTTAGCTATTTAAGTTTTTGTATGAGATACCAAAGGGACAAAGGAAATATACGTGTATATCGTCAACGTTGATGCGTCTATACATTTCCTTCGCGCCATGTTCGTTCAACAAAAGGGTGTCGAACCCTTTCGATCGAGAATTTCAACGTCTGCATGATGTTCCAGCAACGTGCAATTGATTCGAAACTTATAAAATAATTTTTGGAAATAGGAGAAATTTGAAAAATTAACATTGGAATGGAATGGAAAACGTAGAAGTGAAAAATCCTTTTTGTTTTTTCATAACCTCTAATATCGAACAAAACTTGCATAAGACGTTTGAAATATTTATTTTAAAAAAATGCTCTCTCTGGATATATAATAACAGAGATAACGTTAATTTTAAGAGATCTGAATCACGTGTACGTTGTTTGTACAAAATATTTGAGCGAAAAGTCAGAAATAGACTTGCCTAACATTCCTTCGTTCAATTCTATAAGACTAGATTGGCTGTTAAACGTGTAAATATATTCAATTATTTTTTCACGTTCTTATACATATATATAATTGTAAGAATAAGGTTCCTAGTCATAGTAACTGTTTTTTCTTAGATATTTAATTTGTATCATTTAATTAACGATGAGTTAAGCGAGTCTGGTTCTGACCGCATTCCAATGAGAAAGGAAACTGCTCGAAAATTGTCCAATACGTTTTCGTCTCTGTCGAGCAAATCAATATTCGAATGCTATTCAATAATATGGGGAACACAAATGAACAGAGACCACGTCTGTGTCGTGAAAACCGGAAACAACTAATTTAAACAGGTCGGATGGATGGTCGGTAGCAAATTTGATCTGCACATTCAATAATGTTCACAGCTATACCTGTCTCGTTTTCATGCTGTAATACAATACACGACAGTCAATCGAAACTCTAATCACAATTAGAGAACCTCGTAACGATAGTCAATAATGAAATAAAAGAGAAAAGATCTATATGGTTATCAAAGTGCATCGTTCTTCGTCACCGTAACGAATTTTAATTAAAAACAAAAAAAAAAAAAAAAAAAGGCATTTTTAAACAAAAGACGAAGGATTCGGATATATTAACGTTTAAGCGTTTTAAATCAAAAAGTTTAAAAAAAAAGAAAAGATCTATATGGTTATCAAAGGGCATCGTTCTTCGTCCCCGTAACGAATTTTAATTAAAAACAAAAAAAAAAAAAAAAAGACATTTTTAAACAAAAGACGAAGTATTCGAATATATTAACGTTTAAACTTTTTAAATCAAAAAGTTTAAAAAAAAAGAAAAGGAAAGATTATAGAGAAGAAGTTATAGAGCGAGCAATTGATCATTGGGACCATTATTTAGTGAAAAGCCATTGCCACTTTTTTTAAATAATCATTACAATGAGTGGTAAAAAATAATTTTTAAAATACTATGACTGGAAATTGAATCGTATTTTATATCGTATATTACTTATTATTATTATTATTATCTTTATTGCGTGTTTCAATATTTGCATATCCTCCATGTTTTAAAATATATTTTAAATATTCCCGCCATACATTTGACGACATCATCATTACATTTGTAAGATGTGAGGAATGAATCCTTGAAGTAATCCTGTGTTTTACCGATTATACCGAATATAAGCTACAAAACAGATATTTTATGCAAACTTGTGAATAATTTTATGAATTTTATCCAATTATATTAAAAATTCGAATAAATCAACGATCAATACTTGACTCGATTAAGGTTAAAAATTCGTTGCCGTCTCGAAGAATGTTTTCAACGTCGAAAAAGTTCTTGAAAACATGATTTTCCTCTATGCTTGCTTTTGAGAACAGGAAAACATGATAACGTGAAATTAACTATTCGATAAAAAAAAAAAAAAAAAGAGAAAAATAAACGATATAGCAAACCTCGTAAGAATTGACAAACACACGAATACAAATTAACGTTAGATCATCGCCGTAGGGTAAACTTAAACGAAAGCAAAAAAAAAAAAAAAAAAAAAAAAAAAAAACAAAAAAAAACAAAAAAAAACAAAAAATTAAAAAAAGTACGATAAAAAATGGTATTATTACTAACGTTATTAACAATAAACAAACATTCGGCGCTATTTTTTAGATATACAAATAAATTAAGCCAGGACCCAGGACGATCATGCCTCGTACATTTCTCGGTCCACTGAAAATAATTTTGTTCTTGTTCACTAAAACACGAATACAATTTGCATTGGCTGTGCACTTGAAATTATTAACCGAATTATAAATCGACTTCTGAAAATCCTGCACATATATACGATGATTTTATAATATTTCTGTGATATGTTTTATTGAAAATAACTTTCGTTTTTTATTACTCATAGAACAGCATTATTCGAATAATATAAATTTGTAAACATGTTTATAACTTGATTAAAATCTGATTGAACCTCGTTTCAAATTCAAATATAATTGGAACATTATGTTATCAATGTAATTGATTTAAATTTTTTAATTTCTGAGAATTTTTTTTTTAATACAATATAATTTATTTTATATAGATCACAATTAATTGCTCAGTTTCACGTCAGATGTACAATATCGTCACGCTTAACACTTTTTTTTTAATATAAGCTAAAGCTACTAAAACTTGTTGCCTCGTAACCGTTAGTTAAAAGGACAAAAGGAATCAAAAAAAAAAAAAAAAAAAAAAAAAAAAAAAAAAAAAA